AGGATGGTCGGTTGGAGCGCACGGAGCCGTCGAGCGAGTCCCGCCCGGAATATAATGCGCCGTGATCCCTCTGGAGGTTTGGTAACAACTCCTGAGTGGAGTTCAGGCTCGTCACCACTACAGAGCACGTTTAGGCAGAAGCCTTTCAATCGCAGCCAGGTGACTGCCTCCCAGCTTGCAGCTTCTACTGCGTGTTCAGCCCGCCCCGTAACCCGTGGGTGCGATCGGTCAGCTGTATCAGCTGGGTCAGGTCGCCTCCCTGCGTCGCTGGGCAGGTCTTGAATTCGTTAGGGTTGCCGGCAATTCAATTCTTGATGCATTTCAGGTCCCTGTGCCCTCTCTCCCTCTCATGACACCCACGACACCCCGAACCGCAACCCCTACCCCACGTCTCGCGACGACGACGCCTTCACGACATCGGCAAGTCTCCTGGGTCTTCTCTCCCCTTACTCGCCGTAGGGGTGCAACTTCGAAACCATCCGCAGCTTGCCGTCCCGACAGGCCAAAAAGACTGATGTCTCTCAAGATCGATCAGCACGACACGTAAGATTATCGACGTACGCAACAAGACAAATGCCCATGCGTCCAATTGCGGACCAAGGGAAATCTGTCGTTCACCTGGAGGGGATTGCCAACGACTCTCGAGCATCAGACCGTCAGAGGCGACCCTCCGCCCGATGAGTTCGCCCGGCATGAAACGGGGTGCAAAGCAGCATGTGCTTAGTCCTTCGAGAGCTCGCGTGCCTCCGGTGGGTGTGTATTATCGTCTCACTGGCACCGCGAATGTCACGTCACCAAAGTACTCGCGGGTAACTGTATGGCGATATGGAGACATCTGCAATCCTCTCCGCGATGCTGAGTCATTTAGCAGCGGGCGTCGTTCGTGGTTCCAGGTTGGTTTAACTCAGACGCATTCTGTCCCGCGCGGGCGGCTGTATATCATCGGTATAGTAGGTGCCGAGTGCAACGAATTACATGCGCTATAATTAAGTTCTAACTACCAGCCAAGACTACTATCGCGGGCGAGTGTAACAGCGGTCAGTGGGCGATGGCCACGCCGGCTGATGACTGTGTCCGCAGCGTCGGCATGTAGCGCAAACAGCAGGAAGCCGAGAACGGCCGCGACGAGATGGGGTCCGCTAACATTGGCGGTATTGTTGGACCCGAGATCGACGGCCATGTGCGATGCGCAATGCCAAGGCCGGTCCGCAGCCCCCGAACTGTCCGGACCTCCGAGGCTGCTGCCACATGGCAGAAACCCACTGTCCTCGGTCATCTCTCCGGCTTCCATTGCTGACTCTCACAACGATACCTCAGCCATTTCGACGGTCATCATGACACTCGATACAAACATAGAGGCTTATCCGCCTCCAAGACCTCACAGGTTCAGACGCTTCCTCCTAAGTGTCTAACGGCGTCCTGGTCCCCTGCAAAGCACGGGAGTCGGTGGGATGCGGCCATATGATTACTCACTAGCAGGCCCAAGCTGTGCACTAGGGACGCCGGCACGAATCGGCCCCCTCAAGAGCGAGACCCACGCCTGGTAGTCTGAACTTATGGCTGGCTGTTACTTCGTGAGATGGGCCATTGCATACGCTGCACGGAAGAATTCGAATCGTGACGCGACAGCGACCGATCTGAAGATTACCACTGGCATTTGAGAAGTCGACAGTTACCTCCCGTCATCCAGCAACACCTATTCGCACTCGACCAGCTGACAGCATCCCCTCGTTCCGTAACATGGTGTCTGACCTCCCCCAGGGTCACACTGGAATCACAGGGAAACGACGACGAGGAACGCCACGGCTCACTGAATATAGCGCCCCGTTAGTAGTTCTCGTCCGCGCGTCCGCGGCTGCTGTCCCTCAGCAACACTGCTTCCGGCTCTCGTGACGAAGCCAGGGTGGAAGAACCTATCGGCGGGCCTGATGGCTTCTCACGCTTTGGAAGCGGTCCGCGGGCATGGGAAGCAGTCGACCGCGGCGCGCTCATGCCCAATCCCTGCCCGAGTAGCCTATACACGATCCGATCACAGCAGGTCAGCCTGCAGGTGATAGTCATCATGTGGTGTTGCCGGACCGCAAAAGGTGTGGAGCGGATATCGAAGAGTATCGGCTGTTCGCAGGGAGGCGGCAGAATAGCCTTGGAATCCGCGACACCCGTGGATGTTCAGGACGATACCCTTTGTGCGGCGCTCGGCGCCCCCTCCCCTCTTCCCCACCGCACGGAGACCTCCCCTGGTACCCTCGCAAGGGTGACTATGGGTTGCCTTCCGCATTGTGCGACTCTGCTTGTCCGTGCATGCGCCGTCGCTTACGTTCGATAACAAGGTTCGCGTCTTAATGGAACGCCCGCGGACGCCGAGAGGCGTGTGGCGCCGCTGATCCGCAGAGTTGCTCCGCCGGCAGACATTCAGGAAAGAATGCCTCGATACGCGACACTCGCGTCGAAGTTTTTCCGGATCACGGACGTGCACCCTGCAATGGCCAGATGATTTTCCGGGACCCACGGTAGGCGCGGTATTCATGAAACGACTTTCCGAAGCAGTGGGAGGAGTCTGGAGCATGCGAAGAAGACGGGGCTTTCTGGGGCGTGTGGGAGGGTTTCTGCCATCCATCTGGTGGTCGAACACGTCGCCTGTAGCAGCAATGGGTACCGGCTATACGGAGAGCGCGGACCTGTGATCGGTGCGTTCCTCATGAACACGGAGGGCCCTGCGTACTGGCCTCGTAACGACCTCGAGGATGGTTGACGTGAGGTAACCGCGCTGAAAGAACTTCAAATAAGCACGGCTGTGGTTAGCACGCTCGGCTCGCGAGACGACCGATGTTTGCCGCGGCGACAGACAGGTTTCAAAAAGCCGTGCGGCGACGACATCAGCAGAGACGCAGTGGCAAACGCGATGAGTGCTGCGCTGTTCCTCTACGTTGTCGGGGCCCGTCCAGAAGTCCGATCGCCAAGTCCGATGGCCGACGGGCATTGTGCACATGACGTTGTAGCCGGTACCGATGTGGGATCCATGTCGCCCCTGGCACTCCTCCGCGCTCCGTTCCTTGCCTCATCGTTGAGACACAGGGATGTTGCGGGCATTGAAGGCAGCCTTGAACCTGTGAGAGTTATCAGCCGCAGCTTAGCCCCACGAGATTACATTGCAGCAGCGCCGCTCTGCGGCAATCGGGCTTCGGACGAGTACGAGTTTGTGAACATGCGAGAGTCGCACGATGTCTTGGGTCGACGTACGTACGATCGCTGTCCTGGAGGTGTATGCGTCAGCGGCGTCAGTGCATCAATGCTGGTATCTACGATGTCCATAGCGCTAACTAGCGTTTTCGTGATATCCTATGCTATCTCTATCATCAAGTCGAAGCAGGCTGGATCCCCATATGGTATTATATTGCCAATAGGAAGGGATAGGGATATATATCACTAGCTATGGGTTGAGTCAGTCCTCCACTGCACGAGCCCCGGGCTTGACCTGTGGTCTTTCATCAACATCTCCTGAGGCAAGCCACGTGCTTCCAGCCATCCTTCCAACACCCTTTGCACCCAGCAATTCCTCACCCCTCCTTAGTTTGCAGCATGTCCTTTCAAGTTATGCCGCCCATCGGACTTGTCAGTGCATAAGAAGTGCATACAGGACGCATTTGGGGCTTTTTTAAGGCAAACTGATAGCTATTGATATATATTGGTAGAGTGATAGCCTACTAGCTCCAGCCACAGTCAAGTAAACCACCCCTATCCTATGATATCCCTATCGGTGCTACCATAAATCTAGCGCTAGCTAGCCCTATCGCTCTATCTTATGGACATCGTAGCTGGTATCGAGCCGAGTACTCCTGGTATCCTGCATGCTTCGGTTTCTTCTGTTCGGTGATCGGCTATCTCCACCTCTCGCTCTTTTTTTCCAGCGGCCGGCCGAGCAGGCCAGGTACTGCACACACTCAGACAATGCAAAAATAGAATCATCTCCGTGACGGGACGGCAATTCCAGACCTTGCAAGGCAGCATTGACCTCACTAGCCGCCAACTGTTGGTCAGGTCGACCTCGGAGCGTGTACCGGCGTCCACTCGGAGTATTTAGCGACGCACTGGCCCCCTGTTGCACGGCCGACAGGCCCGGCTCGAACAGGGAGAAGGATTCATTGAGGATCCCATAAACGTGCACGGAGCGCACGAGTTGATTAAACTTGCCCGCGGCGTGGCTTGGCTCGTTGGGGAGCTGGCCTTCGGCATTGGAAGCTCCGTCTTATGGCCCCTCGTGGCCCCCGCCTCGGCCCTCGCCGTCCCTTACGGCCCTGTCGTCAGTCGACCCTGTGGCCCTCAGACGAGTCCGGACTTGCGGACTTCCGTGTGTCTCACATCACTCGCGCGCATGGGTCCTGGTCGTGCGGGATAACGAGACAATTAGGCGAGCGCCGTTTCCGCACGAGATCGGGATTCCCGTAGTATCGTCCTCACACGACCGTTGCGACCAATTCGCAACTCCCGTCGTTCGACTTTACGAGACAACCCTGCTTTCCTGTAAAGACAGAGACGGCTAGGGATACAGTCTAAGCCGCGCTTTCTCCACGATAGATGAGTCAGCTTTCTAGGTCGCAAGACCTGGCCAAGACGTTGTCTTCGAAAGACTGGGGATTTCTGCGAGGCGCTGCCGCCGGCAGCGCTCTCAACGAGTCCGTCCTCACATCTATGGTGAAATGGTATCATGCATCGTTGCCACTTGGATTCGATGCGGTGGGGGTTCAATTCCCCCTGGATGTACTCTTTTGGCCTCCCATGCATCGAAGAAAGATGGTTTGACGATGCTGAGAGCGACGAGGACGAATGGATGATGTTTTTGGTGGTGGTGGCATCTGGTGGAGGTGGTGGACTGTGATCAGTGGAGGGGCTGCAGTGGGTCACGGCCAGATTCGCAGACGTGGAACAGTGGAGGCAGGAGCTAGACGTCCGGTATGATCATAACAGTTCATATGCGGGTGTGTATCATACAAGTTTTAAGTCTACATGCGCTTCGCTCGCTGGCAAGCTTGCTCAACGTCTCTACCGTTGAAGTCAAAGCTCAAGCCACTGTCACTGTAGCTCTTGCTGAGGTACTCGTTCGCCCTACTGATCTCACCCACCAGAGTCGACGTGATTTCCCGCCAGACATAGTTGATGAGGTCCTGGGTAGCCTTGTCGTTCTGGTGGTCGCGGTGGTGGTTCGCTCCCGGCACACCAGGTGCTGAGTCGTCGTCGCTGAAGTGCTTGTCGACTCGGCGAGCCATGGCCTCGACCGCCTTACGCATGTCCTTCGCAGTCTGCTCCTTGATAACCTTCTTCAGCGCAGAACGGTTGTAGTTCGAGTGAACGGAGATTTCGTTCGCAGGTGTCGTACGGGACAGACGCTCGACGCCGTCAAAGAAGTCCATGAGTCGGGCGAAGCCGCGGCGCAGCATCATCTTGATGTACGCCTTCATGTTCTCATCGTACAGACCTCGGGCGCGCTGCACGAACACAGCCAGAGCCGGGATCTTCAGCTTCTGCGTCTCATCGACAAACACATTGAGGTTTTCTGTATGTCAGTTCCCGGTAGTCCTGCTTCAACTCACCGATCATCACGACGTGGAAGTAAAGCTGGTCTTTGCCCTCGCCAGACGAGATTTCCGAGCCAACAAGCTTGGAGACGTACTGGAGACTGCCAAGGACGCTGGCAACGACCTGCTCGTACGCGTCATTCACACGCTTGCGGATATCCAGTCCCTCAGCGGTGCCTAGCTGGCTTTCAATGCGCTCCACGAAGACGGGGAAATGTCTGACAAAGTAGAAGACGCCTCTTCGCTTCTTGATCGTGTTCTTCGCGCCGTCGATAGTCCGGATCTGCTCCTTGATGAAGCTGTCGAAGATCTGACGCTGCCGACCAAGCTGCTTCTCGAACAGCTGGACGAGGAAGAGGTTACCGCCCTCCTGCTCGGCGCCCTGGAGCAGCGTTTCCGTCTCTGCGATGACACCGACGATGGCCACGGTGTTCTTCTGAGAGCCTAACGTTCCGCCGCTTAAGCCGATTGCAGCCTCGATCCAGTTCTTCCACTCGCCGTCAACGAAACCGAACATCAGGTCCATGACCGTGCGTGCGATCTGCGCCAGGGCAGGATTCTTGCCCAGCTTGGCGGCACTGTGACGACCAGCCTGGCGACGGAAGTAGGTGTCGAGGTCCATGTAGTCGGCGAAGGTCGTTTCGTTGTCCGCAAGATGGAGGAAGGCGTTGATGAAACTGTCCTCGGTGACGATCTGACTGACGATTTCACCCATACCACGGCTGTAAAGCTCAGCCACCTTGCGGGTCGAGCCATCCGCTTTGCGATCCCGTAAAGCGGCATGATCGGCACCGGGGGCTTTCTGTCGGAGAGTCTTGGAACGCGCAACGCCCTCTCTGAGCGCACCACCGATACCGGCAGGCTGCTGGGCGCCTTGCGAAGCCTTAGCGAAAGCTGGGGGTTAGCTAGGGCGAAGTCTCTTATCAGCTATGACTCACAAACGTCGACAACGCCCTCTATAGACTTGCTCAGGTTCTGAACGAGCATGACTAACAGCTTCTTCATCTCGTCCTCGTGCAGCTTGCTCATGGCAGTGATGTAGTTCTGCCGTTAGCTAGAGTCCTTCCTGGCTCACCTACCAAGCAAAGCTTCTTGTACCTCTCATCGTCCATGTCCTTGACCCAGAGCACGAGACCCTCGTACAGCATCAAACTCTCGCAGAGCTCATTGTGAGGCTCAAGCTTGAGCTGCGAAGTTTTCTTGTACTTCGCTAAGGTCTCGCTCGACTTGTGTTTGAAGGTGATATCGAGGTACTCGAGCACGCGCGTGGCGAACTGAACAGCAATCTTCTCGTACTCTTGGATGTGAGCACCCGTGGCCTCATTGTCGCGCGCAGCCTGGAGAGCCTTATACAGCGCCGTTGCCGCTTGCTCGAGCTCCTGCACGCCTCTCTGGGTTGACGGACTCGCTTGAGAGAGCGCCTGCAGGTCCTCCTTCGGAACATCGGTGATGGCCAAAAGCTGCTGAACCTCCTTCAAGAGGGCGTGCTGGTTCGAGATCTGCACCTGGAGACCACGGTTCTGACCCTCAATGTAGTCGATGTCGTCCTGGACGGCGTTGAGCTGCATCCGGTAACCCGTGAGATGGAGGTCGATGTCCTCGAGCTCGGCCAATGTGTCGTCAATGTGCTGCAGGACTTGCTCGACTCGGTCGTCGGACTCGAGGAAGGCGTGGATGTTGGCCGACTCCAGCGCAGCGAGCTCGTCCAGAAGTCGCTGTTCGATCGCGTCAGGTCCCTTGCGGCCGGACTCTCCCGCCGTGGCTGACGTTGAAGCCGTCCAGTCAAAGCCCTCGATCATCTCCTCGACGTTGGCCATGATCGCATCACCAGACTCGTCATCTTCGCCCTCAATGACGACGTCCGCCCCGCTCAGGCCACTGCGCGATGTGAGGAGAACGTCACGGGAGTACGCTGTCGTGAAGCTGGGAGGAGCAGGGTGGAAAGACACACGGCGATTCATCTGTTCCGGCGGCTCCTGCTCGTCGTCGTACATCGGTGACGGTGCCCTGCGCTCGCGCAATGTCGGCGGTGCGAGTGCGTCTGGCACAGAGGATGTCGCCTGCGACGAACCAGACGGCGACTTGGCCATTGCTGGCGTCGAGGGAGTGCGCTCATGCTGCGCTGGCGACTCTGTCACGGTCGGCAGAGCAGGCACGGCAGGAGCAGATGACGGTGGCGGAGGGATCATCGGCTGATCGTCATGCGAGAACGATCCGTTCTGCGGGGTCGCAAGTGACTCCTCCTCCATGCCGCCGTAAGGGTCATCGATGTCTTCTTGGGCGGGAGCCAGAGGTGAGGTGGCACTGCCTGCCGAGGGTCTTCGTCCACTAGACGCCCCCAAGGCTGCCATGGCACCAGGATTGATGCCGTTACCGCTGTACCCGACGACTGACGATGGTGGCGTATCATTCGAGTTCTGTCGCTGGGTAGGTGGTCGACTAAGTCCCATCGCATCGTACGCCGCAGAAGTTCCGTTTCCCTGCTTGAACGCGCTCTGGTCGAACACCTCGCCGATTCCAACCCCGCTGGGCTGGTGGTGATGATGACTGTCCATGCTCCGCGAATCGTCCATAGTCTGCGCACTCGGCCGTCTTCCTCGCTCATCCAACGTCTGTACACTCGGTCGTCGTCCATGGTCATCCAACGTCTGAGCACTTGGCCGTCGTCCATGGTCGTCCGTCCTCCGTCCCCTATCGTCCAGCGTCTGAACACTGGGTCGTCGGCCCCCAGCAGTAGCTGACGACGACGAGGAAGCCTGACTGCTCATCGCCGGCGCCCCTCGAAGGCGAGTAGAGGGAGCAGGCGGCGGTCCCTCCGGAGCAGGCGAGTGACCATGAGCCGAGGAAGCACCCTGGTAGGACTGTGAAGCCGGAACGCTGAAGTTGACGAGCTCGGGCAGATGTCCGGTGAAGTCCTGGAACGACGTGACGAGGCTGCCGAGGAACTGCTGTAGCGCGTCTGGCCGCTCAGTCCGCCAGCGGTATGTACGAACTGTCATTGCGAGAGCGAACTCGATCGGCTAGACATTAGCATCATTTCCAAAACTCGACGTTGACATCGTCCACCTCAGACGACCGAGGAAGACTCACTCCAATCTGCTCCAGCATGCGCATGTCGACCAGCTGCCACGTCTTTCCCTTCGAGAACGTCCCATTGCTGTTCTTCTTTCCCTTGTGCAGAAGCGGTCGCCCGTGTTTGTTGACTGCTTGTCAGCTGTGTGATACATTCAGCAATCAGCTAGACGTACGAGCCAACATGAGGTAGCGCGTCTTGCCGTGACCGCCATCTTCCTCGAACACCTTAATGTATGACAGGAGATTCTCCTCCAAATTTCCGTCCTCGTCGCGTCTCGAGAACAGCGAGCGCGTCATCGCTTGTTGTTCATCTCGGCTGGACATGGTCGGTCGTCGGCTGTCGGCGTTGCAGAGTGTGAGGTTCAACGAGATTACTACCAGCCGACGTGACGCTATGACGCGCAGCCAACCGAACGTGAATCGGGGGCAAAGTCACGTGGAGGTTGTTTTGATGATGGGTCGACTCCTAGGCTCGTGATGCAACAACATGCACGCAGGGAGCGCACATGCATGGAAGTTGACAAATAATGTATTTATGCATGGGGTACAAACTACATAACTATGCTCCGTTCTCCTGCGCCTCGAGAGCAATTTGGGCTTCAAGGACGACTTTGTCTTCCTCCAATCCCTCGATGGATTCCGTGAGTCTCCGCCTCTCGTCAATGAGCTCTCCATACTTGTCCTGGAGGTCACGCTCTCTCCGCTCAAGCTTGTCCACCTCCATCCGCTTCTGCTCGATGCGAGACGGAATGGCGGCCATCTCCATGGTTCGCAGCATCTCGAACGTCTCGAGGTCGCGCTGCGTCTGCTGGATCTCCTCCATCGTGGACAGAATCGACGCCCGGGTCTTGGCGTTGATGGCGTTGTATCCGCCCAGCTGCTTCGAAAGCTTCTTCTCGGCCTTTGTCGCCTTGGTGGCAGAGGCGATCATGCGGTCCTTTGACGATCCAATCATGGCAGAGTACGCCTGCCGGCGCTGCTCGGGCGACAGGTCCGCGGGATCAACCCATCCCATGCCCGGGAGGTAGACGAACTTCGGGGCGATCTCCGACCAAGAGTCGACGAAAGCATCGGAGGTCTCCTCCGCCTGCGAGCCGATGACGAGGCGGACTTGCTCCTCGTTGGCACCAGGAAGACCAAGAGCACCGGCGAGCTCGGCGTGGATCAGGCCCTTGGCGGAAGCGACGTGCTCATCCTCGGGCATGTCATACTCGCTGGGCTGAAGCGACGAGCTGCCAGGCACGGGGTGGGCGAGCGAGTCGTGCTTCATGAGCTGCGCCATCTCGACGTTGATGAGGTTGATCGCGGCAGTCAGGGAGGCATCGACGTCATCGAGGGTGCTGTTCAGCTGGCGGAGCAGGGCACGCTCGTCAACGTTGGCCGGACGAGGAAGGCCCTTCTTGACGACCTGCGAACGGCGCGCGAGCTCCAAACGCTCCTCTTCCTCGCGGGCCGCCTTGAGGCGGGCGTCACGCTCAGCGGCGTCTTCCTCAGTGAGAGGAACGTCCTCGTCCTCCTCTTCGTCCTCCTCGACCTCGTCCGTGAGCTCGAAGTTGTTCTCGGGCTTGGGCAGCGAAGCAAAACCAGCCTTGAGGGCACGGCGAGCGTCCTTCATGCGGCGACGGTCGTCGGCAGGCGTCTCGCCCCAGCCGGCACCAGCGGGAGTGTTGAGAGCGAGGTTGTCACGGGGAGTCCTGAGCGGGGTAGCACC